ACACCCTCCTAGCTGAGGTTATCGCTACCAGAAATGCCACCTTGTATGAGAGAGAGCAGGGAGCATATCGCCCAGGGCTCAAATGGTGATCCTGTAAGCCTGGAAAGGACCAGATTGAGGTCCCAAGCCGGGACAGGCTGCCGGACCTGCGGGTATAGCCTATCGAGACATTTAAGGAAACAACTGACCATCGGATTTGCAAAGACTGAACAGCCCTCTGCACCTGGGTGGAAGGTGGAGATGGCGGCCAAGTGAACCCTTATTGACCACATGGACAGCCCCTGCTGAAGAGAGTCCAATATAAGCGGCACCGAGGCGAGCGTTGGGGACGGAAGGTGCTGCTCTGACCAGATTGAAAAATCTCATCCACTTGGCAAGGTAGGCAGCTCCTATGGAAGATTTTCTGCTGCCAAGAAGAACTTGTCTGACTTGATCAGAGCAGGAGAGCGCCACTGCATTCAGCCATGGAGCTTCCACTCTGTGAGGTGGTGCGACTCAAGGTTTGGATGTTGGAGGTATTGTTAGGTCTGGGAAGAGTGGCAGGGTGACCAGGGTTTCCATGGACATTTCCAGGAGTGATGAGTACCAGTGCTGGCAGGTCCAGGCTGGAGCTATCAATATCACCAAAGCTCAGTCCCTGCGAATCTTAAGGAGCACCTTGTGAAAGAGAGGTAAAGGTGGAAACGCGTCCGTGATGGAGCCCGGACTGTGACTCGGGAAGGAGCAGAATCGCTGACACTTCCTGTTGCGTTGCGCAAGGAACAAGGTCTATTTGGGGAAAGCCCCACCAACGGAAAATTGATTTCATGTCCAGGCAAAGGGACCACTCGTGGCTGTGAAACAACCTGCTGAGATGGTCTACCAGCTCATTCTGTATTCCAGGGAGGTATGATGCTTGCAGGTGTATTGAGTGCTCTACACAGAAGTCCCACAGCAGGAGGGCTTCTCCTGGCACAGGGGAGAGGTACGTGCACCCCCCTGTTTGTTGATATAAAAAACTGCCGTGGTGTTGTCTGTCAGGACTGATACACATCTCCCTGCTAAGTGGGGTCTGAAAGTCTGCCATGGCAGGCACACCGCTCTCTGACATTGATGTGGAGAGCGAGATCTGCCTGAGACCAAAGGCCTTGTGTTCTGAGATCTCCCATATGTGCCCCCCAGCCCAAGTCTGACACATCTGTCACACCGAGAGTGATGGCTGAGGGATGGTGAAGGGGACCCCTGCACCTACTACCTGTGGGTCGAGCCACCACAGGAGGGAGTCGAGTACCGGGCAAGGCAGGGTTATAATCCTGTCCGGACTGGCCGATACGCTGACGCCAGCCACTACTGAAGTGGTCGAAGTCTGAGTCTGGCATGCTGTACTACGTAGGTACAAGCCAGCATGTGTCCCAGAAGCGTCAGGCAATTCCTTGCTCTAGTGATGGGGAACTGCCTGAGACCCCATATGTCGTCGTCCAGGGACCAAAACCTGGCTTCTGGGAGGTATGCCATGGCTTGTGTCGAGTCCAGCACTGCCCCTATAAACTATCCTCTGAACAGGGGACAGCGTTGATTTCCCTTCGTTTAGGAGGAGACCCAGTTCATCAAATGTCATTCTTATGAAGCTGACCTGTGCCTCCACTTGAGACCTGGAGTGGCCCTTGATCAGCCAGTCATCGAGGTGCAGGAACACCTGTACCTTCCGCTTGCACAGGAATGCCGCCACAACTGCCATGCACTTGGCGAACGCTCAAGGAGCAACTGACAGGCCAAAAGGAAGGACTGTGAAATGATAGTGGTTGTTGTTCACCACAAACCTGAGGTATTTTTCGTGGGATGGAATTATTGCTATGTGAAAGTATGCGTCCTTCAAGTAGAGGACGGTATACCAGTCTCCTGGATCCAATTAGGGGATAATGGGGGCCAAAGAGACCATGCGGAACTTGAGCTTCTTCTGGAACTTGTTGAGTTCTCTCAGGTCTAGGATGGGCTTTCGGTATTAGGAAATACCGGGAGTAGAAATCCTTGCCCCTTTGCTCCTGAGGAACCTCTTCCACTGCCCCTAGAGAGAGGAGCAAGTGCATCTCCTAAATAAGGATTTGCTCATGAGAGGGGTCCCTGAAGGAGGACAGGAAAGGGGGTTGGAAGGGCACAGAATTAGATGGAGTATCCTCTCTCTACCGTGCAGAGTACCCAGCAGTCCGAAGTGATACGTTACCATGCACGGTAGAAAGGGGATAGTTGGGATGAAAAGGTAAGTCGGGGTAGATCCAGTTCTTGTACTGGTGCACTGTCCTTGACCACACCCTCAAAAGGCTGGTCTGGTGCTGGGAGGTGGGTTGGGCTGGGCTGGCCAGAGCCCTAGCTGGAGGATGGGTGCTGTCTTCTCCTGCCGCTCCTATTCCTCCTCCGAGGAGCATCCTGCTGATTCTGTGATTGGTAGAACCATGAGGGAAGCTGCGACTGGAAGTGCCTGCGCTGAGTGGTGTGAGTATGGAGGCCCAAGGAGCTGAAGGTGGTCCTTGAGTCCTTTAGACTGGAGTCTTTCATCCGTTTTATCGGAAAATAGGGCTGAACCCTCAAAGGGGAGGTCCTGGAAGGTTTGTTGGACCTCATAGCGGAGACCAGAGACCTGCAACCAGGGACTCCTCCTCATTGCAACCCCTGTGGCCACTGAGCAGGAGGCTGCATCTGCCGCGTCCAATGCGGCCTGTAGAGAAGCTTGGGAAATCAGTTTTCCTTCCACCACCAGTGCCGAGAACTCTGCACGAGAGTCCTGCAGCAGCAGCTCAGCAAAAACTTGGCTATTGCGCCGCAGGTGTTCTGCAAGTATCTGCTAACGATGACCTGCTGTTTGATATGCGGGACAGTAGAGTGGACCTTCCTCCCAAAAAGGTCTAGTTTTTTAGCGTCCCTATTTTTAGGGGAGGGGCCTTGGTAGCCCTGGCGCTCACGCTGGTTCACTGCATCAACCACCAGGGAATAGGCAAGTGCGTGGGTATATAGGTGCTCATATCCCTTTGAAGGGACAAAGTACCGCCTCTCATTTCTCTTGGCCGTAGGGGACAGAGATGCGGGGGTCTGCCACAAGGTCTTTGTGGTCTCAGTAATAGTCTTTATTAATGACAAGGCAATATGAGAGGGTCCGGAGGAGGCGAGGATGTCAACCATCAGGTCAGCGTCTTCTACCACCTCCTCTGCCTGGATGCGTAGGTTCTGGGCCACCTGTCGCAGAAGATGTTGCAGGACCCTGTTGTCCTCCAAGGCCGGGGCCATCTATGTCCCCACCATGGTTTCGTCTGGGGAGGATGAGGAGGAAAGTCCTGGCAATGGGCCCTGCTCACTCCCCTCAGCACCCAGGGAGTCACGCGGCACCTGGTACTGCTGTGCTGCCAGGTCCATAGCCTGTGGTGCCGGGGCCGTTGGAACTAAGATAATCGGCACCGATGCTGGCGGTGCCGAGATTGCCGATGCCGATGATGCCAATGTTGGAAGAGTCTGTGCCGATGCTGCAGGCAAAGGTAGAGGTGTTGGTGGTGCCTCTGCCAACGATGCTTGTGGAGGGACGCCAAAGACACCGATGCGGACCTGGACCTTGACCCTTGGATTTGTCCCTGGCTCTGACGATTCGCCCAGGGTGTCCAGAAGAGCCACTCAGCCTCCTGTACCCCAGGGGAGGAGGGGAGGAGCTGATGAGACCCTAGGAGTCGGAGGAGGCGAGGTGACATTGCCCAAATTGGATCTCCCTGCCGCAGGCTCCTTGGGCTTGGATGGGGGAGAGCGACCCCTCCCCAGCGTTTTCTTTTTGTGGGGCACCGGGGACTGAGACCGCTGCTTGACAGAAGACTGTCCGTGGGCAGAGCCATGACTCCTTGGGGTCCTTCCTCAGGACTGACTTGTGCACCGTCGGTGCCGGAGCACTGAGCACGGATGAGGAGGTGCTGGGTGTGGGTTCTGCTGATCCTGGGTCAGACTGCGGTCTGAGTGCTGCCTCCATTAGAAGGATCTTGAGTCTTTGATCTCGGTCCTTCAAGGTCCTAGGGCAGAACCCTTTGCAAATTCTGCACTTCTCCTTCTGGTGACTCTCCCCAAGGCACTGCAGACAGGAAGAGTGCGGGTCGCTCTTAGGCATAAACTTTCCACAGTCTTCATAGAGCTTGAACCCCTGGGGACCGAGTCATACCCCAGAACCGGGGAAGCATTGTTGGGGGGAACCCCCAAAAGAAAACTTAATAGTTCATAATTCTAGTAGCTCTTAACTGACTGATTGCTAACACTAGAAGCTATAAACATGAAAAGTGGACACTGCCCAAACACGCTTGTAAAGCAAGAGCAACAGTTTGTTCCAGCTAGTTGTCACTAACAGCGAGAAGGAACTAAGGAGGTGGCGAGTCAGTAGGGCCCTAAATTGGGTGCCATGAGGCGCAACTCCAGGGGGCACCCAGGCCAACCCTACGGATGCTGCTAAGGGAAAAATCCTCCAGCTGATGTGCACGTGGCGTGCACATACCTGATTGGAATTGACATGAACAAGCACTCAAAGAAGAAGGATCAGTTTCTGCCTTTGGATACATGTTCAAATACACATGCATAACTTCCAGTGAAGGCAGAAGACAGAATTTGGCCATTCAAAGTTGAATGCATAATGAAGATATGCTAATAGATTAATGTCAAAGTAGTCAAATCTCTTGTACCTTTTCCAATTGGAAGATAAGGGTATATGGCATTGCTATCAACTTCCAAGTAGGATCAAAGAATTCAAGGCTGCTCCCCTTCTTACATTCTGAATCAATTACATTGTATAACATGGTAATTTGTGTAGTCAATATACATGAGTATGATACTGATTCTGCAAACAATTAAGCATGTGCTTAAGTCTTTGCAGGATCAGAGCCTATATCATTAAATCAGATCAGTTTCTCAAGATATAAAAGTAAAAACAATGCTCATTTAACCTTTTGTGTGGAAGAAAAAAGAAGCAAATACAATTGATTACAATATGTAGGAAAGACACTCACCTCTCTCTTCAGTTCATCATCTTCCTCCATGATGTCATACACTTTCTCTAGAAGTTTCACTCCCAGCCCTTGCACCACATCAGACCTCAGAATTTCAACCATTCTTCTGATCTTTTCAGGACCAGATAAAACATCTAAAAAAATAATAAAATTAACTATTTTTGCACTGACAATATTAACAGTCACCTTATATGTACTAGAAGTACTTAGAGTGGTTGGTACCAGCAAAAGCCTGGAAGGTGGTTTAGGATTGTGGAATAGGCACCTCAACTGGATGTCTCTGGTCAGCAGAAATACAATTAAATAGGTCAGTCATCTGAAGGTGACTACTGGGTCTCTATGCAGGTGCAAGGTTCATACAGATTCAGTTTGCAAAATCAGGTCTTAGAGGGCTCAGGGTGTCAGACTCAGACAGACATCACTGTATGAGTGTATACTCTAATCATGTCTGGAAGGTTCTTTGTAATCATAATGGTAGAAATATTTTTTAAAAATTAAGTTGATGTTCTGAAAAACAATTGTGTGGCAAAAGGTGGATTCTACAACAAGTTTCACAGCCATACAATGTAGAGAACCCTGATATAGAGGTAAAAAAACACTTCAATCATTTTACATTTGAAAAAAAAATGACTGTAAAAGTTCGTAAGTATTGTATTTATATATAGGACAGAATAGCACGGGCAGCAGTACAGTCTTCCAGCAGTGTGCCTCATTGACCTTTCACGCCTTCATTTCTCTGCTTAAACTGCAAACAAGGGATCCCACTTATGAATGTAGTTTTATGATAATGGAAGGTCTACACTAGGAATAAAACAGAAAGTGTCAAAACTTTAATTTTGGATGATTTCAGTGTCCAAAGTAATATGGCTCCCACAACTGACATAGGCTGGATTTAAGCCAATGATTCAAGGTTGAAAGACATAACCTATTAGCACCCTAAATCCCCTTTCTGCATTAACATGTGAAAGAAAAGGACTTGATAAACCAGAAGAGATTGCAATTTAAGAAAAATTAAATTGGGGGGGAGGGATAGCTCAGTGGTTTGAGCATTGGCCTGCTAAACCCAGGGTTGTGAGTTCAATCCTTCAGGGGGCCATTTAGGGATCTGGGGCAAAAATTGGGGATTGGTCCTGCTTTGAGCAGGGGATTGGACTAGATGACCTCCTGAGGTCCCTTCCAACCCTGATATTCTATGATTCTATGAAAATTTAAGCCACTGTTCCAGCACCTTCAAATTGGTTATAGATTTCCAGTACCAGTAACAGCAGCTGTATAAATTTTAAAGTGCAGCTATGTGAGAAAAACTGACCATGTAAAAAGGCACTTCACTGACCAAAATTTGCTCCCTGTACATTCACAGAGTCATGTTCACTGACTATAGAGACAAACGCTTTCAATACATTTTACTCCTGTTATCTTTGCAGAACCGCCATAACTATGGGAGAGTTATCTTGATTCAATTCTGCTTTCTCAATCACCAGAAGAGAAGTAACTAGAATCCTTGTTACTTACAACACATGAGCCAGGAAGAACAGTTTGAGACTTTCAGATTCCAAGCCGATTTTTTTTCCGTCCATCTTTTGACTTGCAAACTGAGCTCGAGCTCTGGGACTCTGCAAGGGGCGGGGTGGGGGGGGTGCAATGATCCCAGAATCTGGGGTCCAGGCCAGGCCAGAATATCTACACTGCAATTTTTAGCCCTGCAAAACTACCCTGGGTCAGCTGACCTGGGCCAACCACAGCTATATCACAGGTGTTTTATTCCAGTGCACAGGTACTCTGAAAGTCAAAAACAAACCTTAAGATGCCATTTTTAGAGTAGCATTTCAGAATATGACCACTCTTGTGAAGGCCGAATTTCAAACGATGATTTACTTGCATTTATCATTGCAAAATTAGAGAACCACTTGCAGCTGCAAAATAAGGCCCAGTAAGGTTCCCTCCCCACTCTGAACTCTAGGGTACAGATGTGGGGACCCGCATGAAAGACCCCTAAGCTTATTTCTACCAGCTTAGGTTAAAAACTTCGCCAAGGCACAAATCCTTCCTTGTCCTTGGATGGGTACTGCTGCCACCACCAAGTGAGTTAGACAAAGATTCAGGAAAAGGTCCACTTGGAATTCCTATTCCCCCAAAATACCCCTTCCCCTCCCCCCAAGCCCTACACTCCCTTCCTAGGAAGGCTTGAGAATAATATACCAACCAAATAGCTAAACTAGATTCTTAAAAAACAGAACTTTTATAATAAAGAAAAAAAAGTAAAAGAAGCACCTCTGTAAAATCAGGATGGAAGGTAACTTTACAGGGTAATCAGACTCAAAACACAAAGGATTCCCCTCTCGGCAAAACTTTAAAGTTACAAAAAACAGGGATAAACCTCTCTCTTAGCACAGGGAAAATTCACAAGCGCAAAACAAAAGATAATCTAACACGCCTTGCCTTATTTACTTACTCTTTTTGCAATATTGAGACTCGTTTTAGGATGATTTTAGGAGAAAATCTTAAAACCTGATGCTTCTCTGCTTCCCCAGAGAACACACCAACAAAGCCCCCGCCTCCCAGATTTGAAAGTATCTTCTTTCCCCATTGGTCCTTTTGGTCAGGTGCCAACCAGATTATTTCTTAACCCCCTACAGGTAAGGCGGAATTCTAGGCTACCCTTAGCTGTATGGTTATGACAGGCCCCAATTCTGTGATGGGATTTCTGCAAGCGACTCCTGCATCTGCACAAAGCCCCAGGTTTTTAAGATGCTGAGTTGAGTCCCATTTAAAGATTAAGCCTTAAAGGTGATCTGCAAAGCTTTACAGCAACTAAATTATTTGGAAGTTTTAAAGTTGTATTTTAAGACATTGAAATCTACAATTTTAGATCTTAAATGGTTATTTAAAACCTTCATAGTGTGGGTCACATATTGATAGATTACCTCATGAACCACCTTCTCTTTTATTCACAATTACATGGAGCACCTCCCCTCCAACTGTCAAGCAAATAACATCCCTGTAGCAACTACAGCAATTACTTAAATGGAAAAGGGATATTAAAAATGTAATTAATTTTTAGCTGCTTTCATGTGTAACAGAAGGAAGGAGAACAGCCGCATCTGACCAGCCAGCTTCCTGTGCACCGCCAGCAAGTGCTCTTCAAACCACTGGTGGTCCATAGACCACAGTTTATAACCACTATTTTAAAGCATTAACAGAGCTACAGACCTGAAGGAAATTCTTCAAATTTGAATTTCTCTGGTTCATTAGATACTTTTCCATGTAGGATGAGAGTGTCTCTGTATTTCCTATGAAGCTTGAACTCTGATGCAGGGGTTAGGATTGAAGGGTGTTCACAGTTCTCTTTAGAATCCATTTTCAGTGTCTGAGTCATTAGCTGTACCAAATCATTCATTTCATTTGTATTGCTTTTTCTAGAAAAGGGGGGGAAAAAAATCTAATTCAATGCCAATCTCCATTTTGCAGTCAATGTGGACTTTCCATAATCTTGTGATCTAAGTAGGCCTTGTTATGTAGTCTGTGTTAAATTCTTGTTGCTATGCAGATCCATTGGTTGTGGTAGTAATGCAATAAGGCATAGGAGCTTTTAGCATCATTTCATCTAACCTTTGCACTGAGCAAGTCTTAACAACAAAGTTTAAGAATCCAGCCAGCCACCAACATCCAATCTACATTAGCATTACCACCACTGGAAGTACAATGGAGGAAGATTTTAAGAAAGACGCCAAATGTAGACAAGATCCTAGATAAATACTTCAACTGAGCCCACAATGTCAGGAAAACCATGTTAACAACTTTCCAAGTAATAGTTCTCAATGCTTCCTGACAGTAGTTCCTCTCCTTGATGCTGGAAAATCAATTTCCTGGAAAGCATTCATGACAGCACTTGGAGGCACAGCAGCCACACACAAAGAAGTTAAACACAGTAGATAAAGAAGTGTATGTCACAAAAGAGCAACGAACAAAAGGTATCCGATTCTTTTACTGTATAGCTCTTCATAACCCCACTATGCATCATCCTTAGAAACACATTTCTACACACAGTTTTCCACACCAAGTTAAAGCACAATAAGGTACTTATTTGCAGTGTCAGTGACTACTGAATGTCTGTATGCAAGTAAGAAAACACTTACCCTTCCTTGGAATCTCCATCTGACTTATCTGTGGAGCTTGTGGAAGAGCTTAGCTCATCATCAGACAGACAACGGATTATTTTTTTTTCCTGTTATAGATAAAAAAAATGTGTGTGTAGAATTAGGCATTTTATTGAATCAGTAGTTTGTACTATAAGCACTGATTCTTTGAAGTATGTGACAAAATAAGCTTCAACAAGAACATTTTTACAATTTAACTTTATAAGTAAACACAAGGGGCTTTTAAGCATTAAGTCCAAGAGTCAAAACAAACTAGTTAAAGCACATACACCATCATATACTCATTTAACTAGCATTAAACCTCACCTGTTCTGTTTCAACCTACACTGAATGCTTTGCCAAGTGTGCTACAGAGTCGGACAATTTGTGCTATGTTTAGTCTGGGACCATGTGTAATTCCACTGGCAAGTTCATGATAGAAAGGTAAAGCAGGTGTCATTTGATTTTTAAAAATCTACAGAATCATATTTTCAGTGGTGTCACCCCCTGTGGCATGGTGGGGGGGATTCACTCCCTCCCACCCCACTGTCTCCCAGCCACAGGTCCTCCAGTTGGTAGAAATTTTGATAGTACACTGTTGTTGGAAATTGGTCAAGCTGGGTATTATTCAAAATCCCTTTCTCCCACTAATACAATGGTACCAAACACGACAAACCTAGAACAATTATGCAGATACATATTAGAGAAAATATTTAAAATCAACATTTTAAAAATTATACTTTACGACAAGCATATCAAACATGCAGCCCTCACAAAGTTAAACTGTGGCCCTTGACTGGCTACTGTGTTACCAATTAATGCTCAGAACATGATACCCCCTATTAATTTTTTAAAATGTTAGATTACTATAAATGGAAGGAGTGCTTCAAGTTGATTTGCTATCATTGGCAAAAAAAAGGGGGTTTACTTGTATTGATCATCAGCTTTGTTTATTATGCCAGAATAGTTGTAATGAGGCATTGTTTAAGATGTCAGCGTTCAGCTAGAAATTACTGGAATCCATCCATGAATGGTATGCATATAGTTAAGTATCATTAATTACAATCCCAAAGTAATTATTACAAAATCCTTGTTTCTACTTTGGTCTTGATCATTTTTAGGCATCAATGGGGAGGCAAAGAGTACCAACTAGCAGCTGAATCTTTGGAGAATACCACCATGGAGGATGCAGTTAAACGCTTGGTGGTGTTGCCAGTTCCCTTCTGTGCACTTAGTTCAGATGAAGGCCGAGGACACGAAAACAGAACACAGAAAGTCCTGGGGGGGGGGAGAGCGGGGGAGAAAGGTAGATGGTGGTCATAAGACAGCATCCAAATGCTCTTTCCTGGATTTTCCTGACAACTCCAGAACATTTAAGCATGGCTGGGATGGACTTCCCCAGAAACAACCAAGCTCCATCTAAACTCATTAGATGCTGTTATATGCCAAGAAGGGACAATTTTAAAGCTACAGGATGAGCTTATGGCAATCCATTTGCATATGACAGACCAGAGTTCATTAATATCATGACTAAAATCAGTCTTCAGTGATGAGATAGCTAAAGATGTCAGTCCAATGGATACTTTGGGTCATGACTTTTATGAAGCCTTCAAAAATAGCCAAAGAATTATCCAAGGCTCCATTAATCTATGGGCTCCAATCAAGAAGAACAAACTAAAGCTGTGCTCAAATGCAAAGAAGAGAGGCAGAGTGAAGACGGCAGAGACTATTCCAGAGCTAACCACAGGGTCATTGTTCGCTCATCTCCTGGTTATGTCCAGATCTCAGCATATTGTTGATTTACATGAGTGTTTGGGAAAGTACTCTAAAAGTACAATCGATGTTTGAATGTGACGGAACAATGCATGTATGTCAGGTGAAAAGCAAAGTAATGCGCATCTTGCATAGTCTTCCTAAAACAGGACCTACGGACAATATGACGACCAGCACCTTATGTCAGCAGACCCCTTTCAGGATAACAATCATAGATGGAACGGCTGAGGTACAAACTCTTGAAAAACCAGAAACTTAACGCTTGCTGAGATTTGGCTGAACACTTCATTATGAGGCCAAGGAGTAAATATTAGACCTATGATGAAGTCCACCTTGTGTTTGACATATACACAGAGGAATCAATTAAAAACATTACCAGAAAGAAGTGGCTCCATGGCACTGCACCCATCCAATACCACAGTGGTTCTCAAACTGTGGGTAGGGACCCTAAAGTGGGTCGCGACTCCATTTTAATGGGGTCACCAGAGCTGGCTTAGACTTGCTAGGGCCAAAGCCCAAGCCCGAGGGCTTCAGCCCTGTGCAGCAGGGCTCAGGTTACAGGCCTCCTGCCTGGGGCTGAAGCCCTTGGGCTTTGGCCATGCCGGCCGGGGAAGGTGGGGCTTTGGCTTTGCCTGGGTGGCGGGACTTGGGCAGGCTCAGGCTTCAATCCCCCCCTGCTGGGGTGCTGTCATAATTTTTGTTGTCAGAAGGGGGTCACGGTGCAAGAAGTTTGAGAACCCCTGCGATACAAAAATCATTGACTCCATGAACATCGCCAATGTCATAATGAAGAAGCTACTGTCTCATACTCACATGAAGTATAGGTTAACCACGTACCCTGCAGAAAGAACACTCATGCGAAGAACTGCTGAAAGACTTTCATCATCATATGGTATAATGAAGCTGCTGCCTCACACTGTTCAGTGGAGTTTCTTCTTAGTTACCATAAGGAAGCTAACACTAAAATTATCTTGCATACCATCAATGCCATGGGGAGAGGTGCTACTGAAATGTGCATTTTGGCATTAGAACAGATGTCCCAGTGCTCTTCGAGAGACACTACCCAAAACTTCCTCAAGATTCTGCTGGGGAACAGAATTGTTTTATATCCCTCTGAGATGTGTTCCTATCACTTGGACCATGAAAAGCCACGGCACAGCAAGATTTCCATGTCCTTTCAGGATATGACACTACCAGATTTGGTTCAGCCTCCGAAGACTCTCTCCTCACTCTGAAGGTCCTTGGAACGGCTGATACAGTCACTGATGAGGTCATATATGCACTGAAGACATTCACATGCCAAGTTTACCATTTGAAGACCAAACATTATGACACTTTCAGAGCTACATTGGTGGCTGTTTTCCAAGAAACAGACAGAGAAAAAATGCCATTGACATGGTGTGCATTTATGCCTCCTACCAAGAGGGCAAATTATCAAGCAATGGAGTGGTTCCAAGATGTTCAAGCACACCCAAACCTACATTCCCCTGTTGGGCATGGATGAATCTTGGAAGATGGACTGATCACAGCAGTTCTGTGAAATACCATGTGATCCTGAATCATTCAGCTAATCAAATGCTTGTGTGCAAAAACCAGATGCTCACCACCCTGCAAATGTTTGGCCAGCAGCCTGCCTTGTACAGAGTTGTGCCAATGTGGCACAGAAGACAGTCAGCGTGACAGTGGGTCATTGGTGCCCTAGACAGAGAGGACACCGATGACGACGACTTCAATGAATAGATGTTTTCAGTCCTACATGTCAAGGCTAACTTCCCTAGGATCAACAAAGGTCAATGTCTTTTTAATTAAGCAATGCATCCCTGTGTTAAAGTATAATTTTAAAAAAGTTGATTTTTAAATATTTTCTCAAATATATATCTACTTAATTGTTCTAGGTTTGTCATGCTTGTTACCACTGTGTTTGTGGGAGAAAGGGCTTTTGAATGATATCCAACTCAACCCACTTCCAATGACACTATACTATCAACATTTCCACCCACCAGAGAACCTGGACCAGGAAGCTGGCAGAGGGATTAGAGAGTACCTCTGCCATAGTGCAAAGGGTGACACCACTGAAATTGACTTTGTAGATTTTTACTAATCAAATGACACCTCCAGTCACAATAAAAATTGCCCCACCCGGTCCTCTGGGTAAGCACCAGCATTGTATATTGCTAACTGCCTTTATGTGCATTGGAAAGTATCTTGGGAAGGGTTGAAGGTGTGACTGTGGAGTAAAAAATTCCTTTGCAGGTTACAAAGGCCGAAGAGGGAGAAAGGGAGAAAGAAACAGGATAACTCGATGATCCAGCCAGGCCTGAAGATAAGGAACAAAACTGCCACCCAAGGCCAGCGCACACAAACAAGCTCTCTGCTGCCAAACAGCCAGAAGCCTGTATCCCAGCCCCAGCCAGCCATGAGAAAAGAGAAGTGAGCCAGACAGAACTGAGCCAGACAGAACTGAAGGGGTTGCAAAACTAATAAGATTGTGAAGGCCAGTGAATGGGAACACAACAGTCTCGCGACCCTGAAACCAGTGTGTTTTGGGGAAGCTAAGGAAGCCGCGGAAGGCCGGTTTGGACTGATACAAAGAGCACGGGGGATGGGGGTCCCTGGACGAAATGCCCCCAGAAGAACCCAGGGCTTAAAACCCTCCCGAGAGCTGAAGCAAGTCGGAGATTTACAACAGACCCTAACCGACCTGTGCACAGGGCAGAACTCTCGTCTACCCTTCCCCCTCTTCTTACATTACACCCAGGTTTGGCCAGCCTTGGGTTGTGCATGTGTAAGTATAAAAGTGGATTAGGGCTTGGACACTAATGCTTTCTTCCTCCCTCTGAGTGACATGGGGTGCACCCAACACTCACCGCTGTTATTTGGTTAATAAAGCTTTAAACTTAAGTCACTTGTTATGCTCCTTCATCACCTCCCTAAAAATCCTGCAGCCTCAGTCTGATCACCTGAAGCCCCAGGCAGATTGATAACATAAATCTGTCACACTCCCTTACTTCTCCATCACTAACTTGCCCAGGGAATGAGATTTTTCTACATTACGCTCATTACGTTGGTCAATTCTCAGTTAATGACTTACTAATGACTACAGTATTTTAAAGAAACATTGTTCTTAGACTACAACGTATTAGTCTTTGTAAAAATAAATTGTAAATTTATAAATACTTTAAAATCTATTTTTCTATTTACTCTCCAATGTCCCCAAAAATTTTCCATGATGCTTCAAACCACTCTCCATTTGGCCCTCTCAAATTTTGTGTGTTCAATCCTGAGGACAGCATGCAAAAAACTGCACATCACTAGC